AGAGCCGCCAGTAGGCTCTGAGGTAACACAGGACCACTGAATCATCAGTTACAGAACCACGAGTCGTGGCATTCAGACACCCAACACAGAAGCACAAACGTAGCAGCGAAGGTTGCGGTTAGCAGGAGCCGCTGTGGGCTAGCGTTAGCCAACCGTTGCCATTCCCATAAAGGAAACCCCCCAGCACCTAACAGCCACTGGCCTCACAAGTGAATATGATCCTTGGAACTCAAAAAAAAAAAAAAAGGATCCTTGACTCCAAAACAACAGAAGGGTTAGAAGATCACATATTGCAGACAATGCACATCTTCGAGCTGCCACTGGAGCCAAAATTCCAGCAACTTTGAGCGCTATAAAGAATCAAGGGCATGTGTTTCACACTATTGTATACCAAACTCCACAGGGAACCATCAGTACCTAAAAGGTGTGAGCATTTTACAGGGAGAAGTTTCCAAGGAACGTACCCCACTTCCGTGCATTTGGGAAAAGCAACAGCAGAAGAAGGTGACCAGGGTGCCACTCACTAGCTTATGAGCCCAGGATGGGAGGACGGGAACGATCTCACTGTTTTTTCCGCCTGTTCTATAAGATTTCATGCAGACCCCCATCTCAGCTGAAAAGACAGGCTCTACAGGGTCAGTAGAAGGCAACCGTACCTTGAATGTCTGTTAGGCACGGACTCTCGGCTCCAGCAGCAGACTCAGGGAGGCAAGTCCTGCGGCAGCAGACCTAACTTCCTGTCCGAGTTTGGCCAGAAATAGTTTTATGACCTCGAGCAGGTCAATTTCCTGCTCTGGGCTTTAATTTACACATGTATACAAGATGAGACTGAACTTCTGGGTCAGGTTTGCAAGCTGTCACTGAATCCACAGAGTGTTGTGGAAATTGGGAGGACCCCACTTAAGCCAGAAAGGCCGTGCATGTCAGACTGCAATTGATGCATGCATTCTGCAGTCGAAGAACATCTTTTTAGGGGCGCCTGGATGGCTCAGTTGGTTAAGCGTCTGCCTTCAGCTCAGGTCATGATCCCAGGGTCCTGGGATCGAGCCCCGCATCGGGCTCCCTGCTCAGTGAGGGGCCTGCTTCTTCCTCTCCCTCTGCCCGCAGTTCCCCCTACTCGTGCTCTCTCTGTCCAATAAATAAATAAAATCTTTTAAAAAATAATATCTTTTTAGTGTTGTTAAACTAAGCTGCAGGATCACCTTCAGCACTGGAACTCTGCCTCTGCTCGGCTGTCACTCGCTTCCCTGTGGGACCCTGGGCAAGTTTGCTTATACTCTCTAGTTTCCACAACCAGAAACTTAGGATCGCAGTAATTATTATTAAATGTGAAAGTATGAGGCCTTGAGAAGTAATTATTAAATTATTTCAAGATCAGTTTTTAAAAGGAATGAACTAGGAGAAATAGCACCTGCCAACTGTAAACAGGAAATAGTTTGAGTATTGGGGGGGAACCCCACCCAACTATATTTTATGTATTATGGATAAGTGTAGAAAAGAAAAAAAAGAAAAGCAGTAATTATTATTAAATGTGAAAGTATGAGGCCTATGTGTCTGGCACATGGTAAGTGTTCCACAGATATTATTTTTAGGTGCTAAAGGATGTATTTTTATCATTTCCCTCACATAGTCTTTATTATGTTTTCTAAAAGGTTTCTAGCAGCTTAAAGAAATGTGTCAAATCTTATTTAATAAAAAAAAAAAAAACGTTTTGTTTCAAAATAGGCCTCAAGGCTAAAGGTTCACCTTGGATTTGAAAAGGTGTCTGTATGTGCAAGCTCCTTAGCAGATTTAAATCACCACCAGGAAAATTCTAGAATTGCTTCAACCTAGCTTATATATATGAATATATAAGTAGCTCTGCCAAGAATTGGTAACTGATTTCTTTTTAATGAAATCTAGAATAATTGCCCTCCTAGCCGAGTTGGCAGGTGAAATAATGCAGGTAGAGACCATCTCACTGCAGAGCTTGTGTTGATTTTTGCCTTGCTTTGTTTTTAATACAGTTAAGACCCTCCAGATTTAAGTTCCCACCTCAATTTTTTAGGAAAAAATCTCTTCAAAATTATTTTAGGGTCGAATCCTCTGTGGTTGGTCCCAGCGGACAGTGTGCAAGGGACAGGCCTGAGGCCACGCCAAGGGGCTGGGGGGAGGAGAGGAGGTGCAGTTAGGACACCCCAGGCTCGCCCACACCGGTCCTCTTTAGGGATTGCCAGCACCCTCCCAAGAATCCGAGTGCACACTCTGTTCTAATGTTCTCTGTGTTAAGAATATTCCTTGTTAATTATTTCATTAAGATGTGTCCACGTGATCCCATATGAGACACTCATGTTTTTGGAATTAAGCCCAAATCTCATTTATCTCCCACAAATAAGTTTCTCACATTAAACAGTAACTTGCAGATCAAAATAGAGGAAAGGAATCTTGCCACACAAGTCTGAGGCAAAGCTAAGGCTCACTTTTCCATAATACATAAAATGTAGTTGGGTGGGGTTCCCCCCCCAATACTCAAACTATTTCCTGTTTACGGTTGGCGGGTGCTATTTCTCCTAGTTCATTCCTTTTAAAAACTGATCTTGAAAACAATGAAGTCCTTGCTAAGCTATGGCAGAATTCTAAGTTGTCCATAGATCATTTGGATGGGGTGTGGATACCCCCCAAAAAGCAGACATTTAAGAGAAAGCACTGTTAAGGAGAAACAATCTTTAAAATGGATATTGAGGGTTTACGAAAAACATATAAGAACAGCAGACTACACGCTGGTGTCGGCTTTAGAGGACACGTTTGGAACAGATGGGCCCAGAGATTCAAAACACTCCCATCTGCGAGGGGGAAAGGGCCCTCAAATATTCAAAACAAAAGGAAGAACACCTTGCAGCTATAGACCGACCACGTTATCTCAACTGCCGACCTGGCCCAGACCCCAGTTCTAAGAGACAGCCTTGCCCCAAGGAGGCGCCCCGGGGCTGGACTAACCTTTATCCCCCCGCCCCCCAGCATACCCCTATGGCAGTCTGAGCCAAGAAGAAATGTATTACAGCCCCTCATGGCTAAGTCCAAATGCAGGGAAGCAAGCAGCCTCAAGAAGCATGCAGGAAGCGAGCACTGGGCCCTCAGAGTTCCCAGGCTCACAATCCAGTCCAGGCAAGCACAGGGTTTGGCACAGCTACCTTGACACCTGATTCCACTCTGGTTTCTACCTTGGGCATCAAAATCTAACCTAAAATACTGTCAGTCACTACCTACTACTGTAGCAGCGGCTTAGACTTCATTCTGCTTTTGTTTTTTATTCTGGTAGTCTCCTTTCTAAGTACCATTAAGAGAATTTCATCAGCAAATCATTGGTCAAGACTGCCTCCTTTGCCTCCCACTTCCTGTTCTCCAGCCTTGTATCTTCTGTTTTGGGGGTGGCAGGGGCGGGGAACGGGTTCTAGGCTGGCCAGAAAGAAAGGAAATTGACCTTCTGGATGTTCTGTGGTTCCTGTAAAATACAACTCCTGTGTTCTGCACCGAATCTCACCTAGGCTGCCACACTAAGCCACTAGGAATGACTTCCAACCACCTCAGAATACAGACAACAGTGTGCTTCCAGGTCTGTGTCTGAATGTTTCTGAAACGGCTCCACTCAACTTTCAGTAAAACTGCACCAATATCAAAATTAAGAATTATTCAAGGACTGGGCGCCTGGGTGGCTCAGTTGGTTGAGCGACTGCCTTCAGCTCAGGTCATGATCCTGGAGTCC